AGTACGGAGAGAGACATAGCTATTTTGTTTATACAGAGTCTTAATGGCGTTTCTAACCATCTCTTGTTGAAATGAATCGACTTTAAAACATCGCTTGGGTTTTGAGATGGTCCCCTCAGGTGTGTCACTGCAGGTTGAATCAGTACACTTTTTTAACATAGTTTTTAACTTCCCTTCTGTTATCCCAACTCCACGTGCAGTTCGTAAACGATACTTTTTCAAAGCATATTGTGGTCTACCTCTTTCACATTCTTTTTTAAAACATTTGAAGACGTTGCAAATAATTGACTTCGCGTCGAGTGATGTTCTCATTGTTTCAGGTATAGCAATCACGCATCTATGGTTTACTCAGCAAGCCCTACGTCACTTTCGCACATGAAACTCGCCCACCTGGCTGTTCCATGAGCGACTGGTCCTCCCTGGTATGGGGTGGCGAAAAATGTCAACAATATGATGATCGTTTGTTAAACAATTTTTTATTCGGGTGTCCAAAATTATGAGACAAACCATCAGAGTTGGTCTGTCCAATTCATGTCGCTGTGCACATTTTGGTTTTGTTGCAATTATTAGATTTTGAGTTAGTGAGCAACTCATCGGTCTCAGATGGAATCAAACGGACTGTAGGTCTGCAAACGGCATTTCGACGACAGAAGCAAGCAGGACCTACATACGTGTATATGTCAGGAACCTTGTGTGCCAGTCGGCATATGATCATATGATGACATACACACAGAGATCCAACGTGTGTTTGAAAGTTTGATCTGCAGACGACAAACATCACCTAACTGTACCTAGATAGGAAGTGGACACGGGATTATTTCATCAGACAAACCTGTTCTACATATGGAACGATCAGAGCTCTGTCAACGAACCTTTCATATCTTGTCATGCGTTCACCGTACGAAGACAAAAATCAGAGTCTAGGAAGGCAACGGTTAATGAATATTACTGAAACCCTCAATCAACAATCTGTACCTGAAAAAAAGTCGAGTCTGGGTCAGACAAACCAGTGATTGATATTATGAGCAACGTCCCACACTATCGGGGTATGACGTCACGTAGTCATGCGAAACACCGAATCTGACCACCCGATTCAATTTAGTCTCCCCCTGCAAGTGATAGGGTGTTTGGGATCTGTACTTCTAACTCTTATATTAGTCCAGAGTAGAAATAAATGATGATGTGTGATCACCTTTATGTGGCTCTTAGGAAGCCCACTGGTTAAGCACTCGTTCGCTATGCCGAAGTTCTGAGTTCGAATCCTTAAAGGTTAGGGGGAATGTTGGTGTGTGTGTTACTGGGTGTTCAGTCACCAACCTACAACTGTATCACACCACCCTGTAAGAAGGGGATTATTGTAACGCAAGTTTTCTCAAGGAGAAGAACATCTTTTTTCACACATGTTCTTCAGGACAATATAAATTTGTTAAAACCTGAGTATAAATTGCCAGTATTACCTGGAACAAACAATTTTGTCCCCAAGCCCATCTTGAGAACACAAAAGGCCGCTCGCTACGTGTATGTGGACTACTGTTTAGGCTTCGGTACACATGCACCTGAGAAGCCCCTCGTTTCCTGACCTAAAGGAAGGGCATACACTGAGGGCAGGTGGGAACACATTATTGATAGCTTCTCTTGAATGATAAATAGTTGTACTTTTAAGAAGACCATGATGAAGTGACCTCGTTGCAAAAGGTCCCCCAGGTCGTCACAGAACCGATCTGAACGCTACGAGTACCGTTAGCCCCTGTTAGTCTTCGTATCGCAAGTGGCGTCTTAAGTCAGTTGGACTCAAGGGCTGATGGGCATGGGCATAACGTGGATGGGCGGCCAGAAAGGAGAGTTACACTCGGCTGAGACCTGTGATTCTCACACAAAACATGAAATACCAACGTGAAATATAACTATATAAGCAATTATCTCTACGACCCTCGTAGGATGTGGAATGATATTGTTATATCTAGGGTGGGTGAGGGTTAATGTTAATGTATTTTCTGTTATAATATTTTGTTCCAGGAGAAAGAATGGAGAGAATAGAAAATTCGTTTGTTGGACATGCTGGGTGAATAAAATATACTGTGAGTGAGTATGACTAGTGAGTATTGACAGTGAGTCCTTTTCGAGCCAACAGCACCTAAATTGAATAGGTTACCAGAGTAATATTACTGTTATGGATGCGCCATTGTGATTTACTTGCCTAAATTCCGTCTAATTCGAAAATATAACCTAAATTGGACGGTTGGTTTGGTTGATTGGTTAGTTGTTTAACGCCGCACTCAGCAATATTCCAGCTATATGACATGGGGTCTGTAAATAATCGAGTCTTGACCAGATAATCCAGTGATTAATATCATGGGCATCGATACACGCAATTGGGATCAATGACATGCATCAACCAAGTCAGCGAGCCTGACCATCCGATCCCGTTATCCTTAGGAATATATATATATATATTCGGAATTTCAATCAAAATAGTATGCGAGCATTATATATGTTTTAGTTCCTGATATGGGGCATTTACGATAAGGAGACACAGCGGCCAAAAAATGTATATTTCTTTCATGGCATGATCTGCCAAGTGATCTGCCTAACCTCCATTCATTCGTGTATTGGGATACGAGACCGACCTCTTGATTCATTTGGGATTTCATCGAAGAAAATAAATTGTCTTCGAACCTAAAATAATGATGCTTCGGAAAAAATTGTGTCAGTCACAAAAATTACATTGTTGCAAGCTGTTTTTAAAAAATATATACACAGGCTCATAATTGTAATTCAAAACAGCTGCAGCTGAAACAATATCTCATCTCCAGACAAAGTCCTGGCCCTCCGCTCCCAGAATATCAAATTATCGGCCCCTAACACCACCAACCACAGTTAACCCCTACTGGGGCACTACACACTCGCGTTATTCGAAATAAAAATACCAGTGAATATATGCAAAGTTTCGCTTCAAACAATGAACCCAGCATGAAGACGGATAGAGATATTTTCACAACAAAGACTTACATCGTTAAAGAAGAAAAGACAGATTTTTTACGTGAAATATATTCACATAAGTAAGAAAGGCGAGCAGGTGTATGTGTTCCGCGCACTCGTATGCTGTCATTAATGCTCTGGCACGAGCTTTTGAAATATTGAATACATTGTTATAAGCTGTATAAGGTTATCCTTAGGAAAAGCTAGTCCGTATGCAAGGCTTGGTTGGGTATGACAGCTCATGCACATATTTATTTAAAACAGCCATAACGAGACGGGGCCTTATTCCATACGTCACAGATTTTACCTTTATATGTTTGTTTGTTGTTTAACGCCACACTTTGCAAAAAACCCATGACTACTGTCTGTAAATAATCAAATCTGGATCAGCAAATCTAGTGTTTGATATCATGAGCATCGATCTACCAAGTGAGTGAATATGGTTTTACGCCGCTTTTAGCAATATTCCAGCAATATCACGGCGGGGGACACCAGAAATGGGCTTCACACAATGTACCCATGTCGGGAATCCAACCTGGGTCTTCGGCGTGACGAGCGTACGCTTTAGTCACTAGGCTACCCGACCGGCCCGATCAACCAAGTAGGATACGATGACATGTATCAAACAATTTGAGTGTGACCCCTCGATCCCGTTAGTCATGACAAGCATTGGTTGCCGAAGATCAATTCTAACACGGATCTTCCCGTTTTTTAAATCTTTTTTTACACCGGCCTGCTTAATCTCAAATGAACTAAAATCTTATTGCAGCGTTTGGAGGTTGAACTGTGATGATATCGTTATCAGCTATATCTTTCAAAAGTATAATCATATACTGAATAAAATTCATCACATATGTAAATATTAGATTCCATGTTGAATAGGAATGACCAACACATGAATAAAATGTAATTTTGGATTGACGGTTATGAGTGAGTGAGTATGGTTTTACGCCGTTTTCAGTCGAGCAATAACACGGGGGGAGACACCAGAAATGGCTTCACATGTTGTACCCATCTGGGGAATCGAACCCGGGTCTTCGGTATGGCGAGCGAACGCTTTAACCACTAGGCTACCCCGCTGCCCTATATGAACATGATAAATAAGCGTTATCACGAATTTAATAGTCATACAGGGACGAATATGAAGTGAACAAAATATATTTGCCTTCGTCTTTACATGCCTACAGGCATCAGTACAAGACGACATATATATTGAACTCAGAAACGACGCTTTGGTCGCATCATACACTAGCATTAGGCTGTGCTAGATATCAGTTTTCATGACAGCTATCGCGGGGAATTCTTAAATAAATACATATGTATACCTAGACCATATGCCCGTATTTAACTTCACTCAACACCCGGCGTGCACTTTTAACTAGAACGCTATTGTTAATTCATCGCATCAATTTCGCCTTGGTAAAAAATTAATTGACTGTCACCAAACTGAATGGTCAGTTATGATATATACAGAGAACCCTCGATAGTCCAGACCCCGATTATCCAGAAACCTCGCCTTCCGGACAATCACTGCTTTGGGCGTTTAGGTTTATACTGGTATGAAAACGACTCTGTTCACATTTGTTAATCCAGATAATCGTCAATCTGGACGATCTAATGGAGAATACTCACGTCCGGACTAAAAAGGTTCAAGTCCAGTTACTGCAATTCGAGTGTACAGTCTAAAGTATTTAAGATTTAATACAAACACACGGCGGAATGTATAGATTCAGCGTTGTCTTTTCTTCCAAATTATATATACATATTATTATGTATTATCATTCATATATATATATTTTACCAAACACTGAGGTGTTTGAAACTATGGTCATGTATGTGTTTAAATCAGTGCGAAAACCACAACTAAAATCAGAATTATACTTCACAATGTTCATTTTGGATTTATAGGTCCGTGACTATAAAATCGGATTTTTAAGATTTCTCCTACTTTTCATCTCTGAGTCCCGTTGCAAACAGTTGTAAGTGCATAATTAGAAGAGGTATTAAATTATGACACTTACCTGGCGACGGGATGAAAATACGCACACAAAACACTTACCAATGGGTAGCGAGTTGGCTAACCGCACATCACCCAACGTGGTTCGTGACTGTGTAGCGGCCGTATTCAAGCGTCGGTGTGGATAGAGGTAGGCTTTGTGAACTAAATGCACCGCCTGTCTTCCCGGCAGTAGTTTCACTATACCGCTCTGTCGAATCTCTATCGAGATGAGCGTGATTAACCCATACACACCGTCATGCTCCTTTGTATTGAGGCGGGCATTAAGTGATGCGCTTCGTGTGGAATCTTTACTAAATATTTAAGTTGGTAAACGTTATAGTGAGGTTGTTGCGAAATATGGGCATATTGAGTTTTTGAGAAGCGGAATATCATCTCGTGTGTGTTTATGTGTGCATGCGTGTGTGTGAGTTCGTGTGTGCTTGCGTGTGTATATGTGAGTGTGTGTGTGTGCGCGTGCGTGCGCGTGCGTGCGTGCGTGTGTGCGTGTGTGTGTGTGTGCGCGTGCGTGCGTGCGTGTGTGTGTGTGCGCGCGTGCGTGCGTGCGTGCGTGTGCGTGTGTGTGTGTGTGTGTGCGTGCGTGCGTGCGTGCGTGCGTGCGTGTGTGTGCGTGTGCGCGTGCGTGCGTGTGTGTGTGTGTGCGCGCGTGCGTGTGTGTGTGTGCGCGCGCGTGCGTGCGTGTGTGTGTGCGCGTGCGTGCGTGCGTGCGTGCGTGTGTGTGTGTGTGCGTGCGCGCGCGTGTGTGGGTGTGTGTGTGTTCGTGTGTGTGTGCGATATACGGTGTTATGATTCTTATGGTTCACACACACGAACACACACACACACACACACACACACACACACACGAACACACACACACGTGCGAAATATAAGCGTTTGAAGTATTTGACAGATGTGGCGGTGTGGTGGGGTGTAATGGTGTGGTGTGGTGAGGTATAATGGTGTGGTGAGGTATAATGGTGTGGTGTAATGGTGTGGTGTGGTGTAATAGTTTTTATGGGTGTGGTGAGGTGTAATGCAGTGGTGTGGTGCGGTGTAATGGTGTGGTGAGGTGTAATGTAGTGGTGTGGTGAGGTATAATGGTGTGGTGAGGTATAATGGTGTGGTGTAATGGTGTGGTGTGGTATAATGGTGTGGTGAGGTATAATGGTGTGGTGTAATGGTGTGGTGTGGTATTATGGTGTGGTGAGGTGTAATGTAGTGGTGTGGTGAGGTATAATGGTGTGGTGAGGTATAATGGTGTGGTGTGGTGTAATGATGTGGTGTAATGGTGTGGTGAGGCGTAATGTAGTGGTGTGGTGAGGTATATTGGTGTGGCGAAGTATAATGGTGTGGTGTAATGGTGTGGTGTGGTATTATGGTGTGGTGAGGTGTAATGGAGTGGTGTGGTGAGGTGTAATAGTGTGGTGAGGTATAATGGTGTGGTGTAATGGTCTGGTGTGGTATAATGGTGTGGTGTAATGGTGTGGTGTGGTGTGGTGTAATGGTGCGGTGTAATGGTGTGGTGAGGTGTAATGGAGTGGTGTGGTGAGGTCTAATGGTGTGGTGAAGTATAATGATGTGGTATAATGGTGTGTTGTGGTATAATGGTGTTGTGAGGTGTAATGGTGTGGTGAGGTTTAATGGTGTGGTGAGGTATAATGGTGTGGTGAGGTATAATGGTGTGGTGTGGTGTGGTGTAATGGTGCGGTGTAAAGGTGTGGTGAGGTGCAATGGAGTGGTGTGGTGAGGTATAATGGTATGGTGAGGTATAATGGTGTGGTGTAATGGTGTGGTTTGGTATAATGGTGTGGTGAGGTATAATGGTGTGGTGTGGTGTGGTGTGGTGGAATGTAATGGTGTGGTGAGGTGTAATGTAGTGGTGTGGTGAGGTATAATGGTGTGGTGTAATGGTGTGGTGTGGTGTGGTGTGGTGTAATGGTGTGGTGTGGTGTGGTGTGGTGTAATGGTGTGGTGAGGTGTAATGTAGTGGTGTGGTGAGGTATAATGGTGTGGTGTAATGGTGTGGTGTGGTGTGGTGTGGTGTAATGGTGTGGTGTGGTGTAATGGTGTGGTGTAATGGTGTGGTGAGGTGTAATGGAGTGGTGTAATGGTGTGGTGTGGTGTGGTGTAATGGTGTGGTGAGGTGTAATGGTGTGGTGAGGTGTAATGGAGTTGTGTGGTGTAATGATGCGGTGTAATGATGTGGTGTGGTGTGATGGTGTGGTGTGGTGTGATAGTGTAGTGTGGTGTAATGGTGTAGTGTGGTGTAATGGTGTAGTGTGGTGTAATGGTGTAGTGTGGTGTAATGGTGTGGTGTGGTGTAATGGTGTGGTGTGGTGTAATGGTGTGGTGTGGTGTAATGGTGTAGTGTGGTGTAATGGTGTGGTGTGGTGTAATGGTGTAGTGTGGTGTAATGGTGTAGTGTGGTGTAATGGTGTGGTGTGGTGCAATGGTGTGGTGTGGTGTAATGGTGTAGTGTGGTGTAATGGTGTAGTGTGGTGTAATGGTGTGGTGTGGTGTAGTGTGGTGTGGTGTGGTGTAATGGTGTGGTGTGGTGTAATGGTGTAGTGTGGTGTAATGGTGTGGTGTGGTGTAATGGTGTAGTGTGGTGTAATGGTGTGGTGTGGTGTAATGGTGTAGTGTGGTGTAATGGTGTAGTGTGGTGTAATGGTGTAGTGTGGTGTAATGGTGTGGTGTGGTGTGGTGTAATGGTGTAGTGTGGTGTAATGGTGTGGTGTGGTGTAATGGTGTGGTGTGGTGTAATGGTGTAGTGTGGTGTAATGGTGTGGTGTGGTGTAATGGTGTGGTGTGGTGTAATGGTGTGGTGTGGTGTAATGCTGGGTGTGGTGTGGTGTAATGGTGTAGTGTGGTGTAATGGTGTGGTGTGGTGTAATGGTGTGGTGTGTTGAGGTGTCATGGTGTGGCTTGTGCTGTGGGATGGAGAGATATGTCGACATTCTGTCACACAGTCATCTTGTTGATGCGTAGGTAGATCTATTTGGAGTAATTTAATACAATCGCTTGCTTAAGCTCGTACACTACACACGCCACACCTGTATTTATGTTGGCAATGTCCTGCTGCTTGCATCCAAAACAGATGCATACACGCACTCAAGCGGAACATCGTTTCGGTTAATGTAATGCAAAATCGGATATGACAAACTTCTGATCAATGCAAATTAATAAAGCTCGTAGTTTCTAAACAAGGTTTAGGTCGAGATGATGTCAGGTGTTTTCCTTCCACCCAACAAGATCCAAAGACACCTAATGTTCCTGTTCATATACTAGTATTTGTGAACCAGGCTAAATAATGTAGCAGGTTCCACACAAGTTTAGCCCGTATAAGGGTGCACGGGTGGCCCAGTCGTACAGCAACGCTGTACAGAGTTGCGTCCCTTGGACATGCCAGAAACCTATGATTGTGGGTTCGAATCCCGGTTCGCCCCGATTACGTTTCTAGGTTTGTCAGCACCATACCCTTGCTCGTGGGTTTCACCGAAGTGGTAAGCGTCTGAGACCTGCATCACTTTAGGCATTCCTCCCACATTAAACTGACACGCCGTGATATAACTGGAATACTGTTCAAAGCGGCATTAACCCCAAATCACTAACTCACTCACTCACGGAGACATTGTCACGACTTGCCAGCTACAGGTAGGTTACTTTGTCACGGAGACATTGTCACGACTTGCCAGCTACCAGGTAGGTTACTTTGTCAGGGAGACATTGTCACGACTTGCCAGCTACAGGTAGGTTACTTTGTCACGGAGACATTGTCACGACTTGCCAGCTACAGGTAGGTTACTTTGTCACGGAGACATTGTCACGACTTGCCAGCTACAGGTAGGTTACTTTGTCACGGAGACATTGTCACGACTTGCCAGCTAGCAGGCAGGTTACTTTGTCAGGGAGACATTGTCACGACTTGCCAGCTACAGGTAGGTTACTTTGTCACGGCGACATTGTCACGACTTGCCAGCTACAGGTAGGTTGCTTTGTCACGGAGACATTGTCACGGCTTGCCAGCTACCAAACAGGTTACTTTGTCACGGAGACATTGTCACGACTTGCCAGCTACAGGTAGGTTACTTTGTCACGGAGACATTGTCACGGCTTGCCAGCTACCAAACAGGTTACTTTGTCACGGAGACATTGTCACGACTTGCCAGCTACAGGTAGGTTACTTTGTCACGGAGACATTGTCACGACTTGCCAGCTACAGGTAGGTTACTTTGTCACGAAGACATTGTCACGACTTGCCAGCTACAGGTAGGTTACTTTGTCACGGAGACATTGTCACGACTTGCCAGCTAGCAGGCAGGTTACTTTGTCAGGGAGACATTGTCACGACTTGCCAGCTACAGGTAGGTTACTTTGTCACGGAGACATTGTCACGACTTGCCAGCTACAGGTAGGTTGCTTTGTCACGGCGACATTGTCACGGCTTGCCAGCTACCAAACAGGTTACTTTGTCACGGAGACATTGTCACGACTTGCCAGCTACAGGTAGGTTACTTTGTCACGGAGACATTGTCACGGCTTGCCAGCTACCAAACAGATTACTTTGTCACGGAGACATTGTCACGACTTGCCAGCTGCAGGTAGGTTACTTTGTCACGGCGACATTGTCACGACTTGCCAGCTACAGGTAGGTTACTTTGTCACGGAGACATTGTCACGACTTGCCAGCTACCAGGCAGGTTACTTTGTCAGGGAGACATTGTCACGACTTGCCAGCTACCAAACAGGTTACTTTGTCACGACGACATTGTCACGACTTGCCAGCTACCAAACAGGTTACTTTGTCACGGAGACATTGTCACGGCTTGCCAGCTACCAAACAGGTTACTTTGTCACGGAGACATTGTCACTACTTGCCAGCTACAGGTAGGTTACTTTGTCACGGCGACATTGTCACGACTTGCCAGCTACAGGTAGGTTACTTTGTCACGGAGACATTGTCACGACTTGCCAGCTACCAGGCAGGTTACTTTGTCAGGGAGACATTGTCACGACTTGCCAGCTACCAGGCAGGTTACTTTGTCAGGGAGACATTGTCACGACTTGCCAGCTACAGGTAGGTTACTTTGTCACGGAGACATTGTCACGACTTGCCAGCTACAGGTAGGTTACTTTGTCACGGAGAC